GATGTGAGATTTTACGTTAAACGGTTGTTTGAGAAGCGCGAGTACGTTGCTTTCAACTCTGTGGAGAGAAATACTTTCCCGCCGTTTGATTTACGTTGCTTCAAAATGTCCGATGTTGGATTACTGCATTTGCTTCAACTTCAGAGTAAACAAAGGAACATGTGTAACCTGACTCTCTGTGTTTTACTCTTCCTGACGTGTTCCTGCTCGCCCTTATCTTCATGTCCTGCCCAGTGTTTGTGTGAAACCACAGTGGTGAACTGTGTTAGCCAAAACTTGACATCCATCCCACAGCCCCTTCCAGAAAACATCACCGCGCTTAACATCAATGGAAACGATATAAGGAATCTGAACAATGAATCTTTCCCCAGGCCGCTGGAACATTTAACAAACCTTTATGTGTCTGGAAGCCAAGTGGAGCAATTAGACTCCATGGTGTTTAAAAACTTGCCAAGTCTGCGTTTACTTGACCTCAGCAACAACAGGATTTCACAGTTCAGCGTTGAGGCTTTACCTCAAGACAGCAAAATCGAGGTTCTAAACCTCAGCAAATCCTTATACAATCACTCCTACATCGGTGTGTTTGCAGATCTATTCAAACACCGCCTGCCTAAGGTTTCTCATCTTGATTTGTCCAATAATGACCTGGTGCTCCTTCCAGAAGGCATATTCGCGGGTTTGTCGGACCTCACTGTTTTGGATTTGAGGAACAACTCCCTTGTTACAATCAGGAATGATACGTTATGCAATCGGGCACTTAAAGAGTTGCTGGAACATTTAACAAACCTTTATGTGTCTGGAAGCCAAGTGGAGCAATTAGACTCCATGGTGTTTAAAAACTTGCCAAGTCTGCGTTTACTTGACCTCAGCAACAACAGGATTTCACAGTTCAGCGTTGAGGCTTTACCTCAAGACAACAAAATCGAGGTTCTAAACCTCAGCAAATCCTTATACAATCACTCCTACATCGGTGTGTTTGCAAATCTATTCAAACACCGCCTACCTAAGGTTTCTCATCTTGATTTGTCCAATAATGACCTGGTGCTCCTTCCAGAAGGCATATTCGCGGGTTTGTCGGACCTCACTGTTTTGGATTTGAGGAACAACTCCCTTGTTACAATCAGGAATGATACGTTATGCAATCGGGCACTTAAAGAGTTGGACTTACGAGACAATGCGTTGAAAGTCCTGCCCAACGTGACCCTAGAGAAGCTTGGTTCAATCTCTGATTTGCGAGTCAGACTCGCAGGAAACCCCTGGCGCTGTGATTGCAATATTGAGGACATGTTGATTTGGTTGGCGAAACATGAGTTTGTGGTAGACAGCTTCAACCTAACCTGTTCTGGCCCGGCTAGACTAAAAAATGTCCCACTTTTAACCCTGATACAATCACAGCTCTCGTGCTGGAGCAACGCCGGAGATGCGATGGACCGTGTGCTGGAGCCCTCCTATGTGTTCTTGGGGATGGTTCTTGCCCTCATTGGGGTCATCTTTCTTCTGGTCCTTTACCTTAACAGGAAAGGGATCAAGGGGTGGATGTACAATATCCGTGACGCGTGCAGAGATCATATGGAGGGATACCATTACAGATACGAGATCAACTCTGACCCGCGGCTAGCCAACCTCAGCCTCAACTCCGATGTGTGACGAGACACATTTGGAGAACTGGCTTGCACAACTGGCACGCAATGATCGGACTCTAGCTTTGCATGAATACATATATAACTGTAGAGGTTTGCAGTGACATGCATTCTTTTCCGTCGGATAGGACGTTAACTGGATTTTGCAAGCATCAACCCTGTTATGTCATTCATATATGCTGGTGTGTTGCTATAATGTTGTCCATTGACGCATGAATCAAGAACATCAAGTGCATACGTTTAGAAATCAACTTTTTTATAAAAGCACAATGGATGGGACTGTGGAGGGAGTCTGTTTGTTCTGATGAAATCTGAAATTACAGAGTAACCTGTCTTTTTGCAATATGTCAAAACAAACTGTAATGTTATTTTTTTATAGCTTAGTTAATTTCTTCTGCAAAAAAAAACTATTCAAACTGCCATGCATGCATTTATGTATTTTTTCATTGATGTAAAATTATGGCAATATCCACTTTTTTATGATGAGTTATTGGTTTTTATATTTACATTTGTTGGCTGGACATAGATCAACTCTTTTCTAGGGGATGCCCTGTTGAATTAAAGGTCTTGCACTGATCTTTTCTCTCCAGTCCAGTGATTTTAGGTTCAGACTTTATTACCATTACAAGAGACAGACTTTTTATATGTATATAATACTTTTAGTAAGTTTTTTAATGATTGCTACTGAGATTATTTTTGTATTAAAATTCAGAACTTGAATTGCTTCCTTTTGACATAATCATTAGACTACTACAGTAACAGCACAGCATGCATATTTGATTATTTAAATAATATTAAACTAAATAGCATTATTTATTAAACTGAACATACGTCTATCTCACATACCCCCAGTATCACATTCTGGAAGACTATATATTTTAAGATTTGCATAACATTCAAAAACATCTGTTCGTGATGGGCCTGCAGATCCCGGCATAATATTAAAACGACAGTCATGAGAGACATTCATTCAACATCAGTCATGACTGATCATTTCCAGAAACAGATTTAATAGCCAGCATTTAGTAGCTTGTTATTTGTGATGTTTATGCTTGAGAAGCACTGAAATCCAAATGGGCTTCTTAATGAACATTTCCTGGTCTCGTCGGGCATGTTATTCCAAAGAAAAGCAATTTGTCTTCATTTTAATCAAAGCATAATCATTTTGCCATCTATTTCAGTTGACTTCACAAATGCCTCCGCTCTAAATCACCTCACTCTTTTACAAAGCAGTTGCGATTCAATCAATTTCCGACTGAAAAATACTTTTTTTGTTGTTGTTGAGAATTGTAGCATTGTTGCAAGCATGTTAGACTACAGAATCAAAAACAGCATTTCACACTGACTTGAGCCATAAGCTGTCCTCTCATATGTTGGAATCATTGTTTTTCTTTTCATTGCACTCCGGCAATGGTTGGTTATTAAACAATGAGGAAATATGATTAATTATTGACACATTCATGTTTGGAATGCAAAAGGCAACTGAAATTATGTAAACAGAACTACATAATGGTACTGAATGTGGAAGCTGTGAGATTTCATATTTAAGCCTAATGATACGACTGGTAGCAGAACCTGAGCTGAGTGCTGTATGAGATACTTGTGGCCCATCCAAACAACAGAGCAAATATACATTTCATCTCCATTCAACCTTGTGTGACTACATGTCATTTGCTCTCTTTTAGCTTTGAATGTTTCTGTGATGTACTGTAGCTTAACACAAAAATTATTGTTTTGTCTGCTGTCGATTTATAGTGATTTGCGTTCGAACCGTATTCCAGGTTTGGATGTCATGACATGATCTTTGACGAGGTCAATGGAGTTAACCATACATTATTCATTTAGCATTCAAGGAATGTAATGTATCAGTATGTGCGTTACCTGGGAATTGCACCCTTGATGGCATTGCTATTGCTAGGCAGGCAAACGCCTTCCAGAATAAGGTATGTAAAATATGTTTCACATCTGAAAGTAACTCCACCTGAAAGTTTTTTTTTTTTGTTTTGTTTTTTACCACCAGACCCGAACAATCAGCATCATGCAATGTGTTGACCAAGCATTCACATTTGTGTACTTGCATAGTATATTTCTGGCCTGGTGTGTTTGCATTATAACCTCACATGTTTGTTTCTGGTTTATTCAGATTTTTGGCTGACTGGTGTTTTAAGCTACTACTACGAAGTTCTCCCAATTTCAAGTCTTGCATGGTAAGCATGAGTACCAGCGCCGTCAGCTCTTTTCAATGGTTTGTTGACATCGTTTGGCTGCAGAGCTGAGCAGGAGCTCGATGGCTATATCAGACGCAGCTCTTTGTGTTGGGTTGAATCTGGCAGCCGATGACTTTCCAAGGAATCGCCACACCTTCCCTAGAGGACAGAGCTCGGTCGCCCCTCTCCAGGGAAGGAACAGGTGCTTGCTATCTCACGTTTCCACGGCAACAATCTCGACCTCATGCGCTCGCTGTGCGGCGGGTGACTCTCGGCAGACTTTTATTAACTACGTAGCTCAGACATGCTTGGCAGGGCAGGTGTAATTTGATGGAACAATAAAGGCGGGAGAACCTTTAAAGGAGGGCTGGTGCTTTCACTTTGCCGTTGCAGCCTCTTAATAACCCCTCATGCGTATTAAACCTAGACTCCAAATAGATGAAAGCAGGATTGGATATTTCAGCCAACTGAGACTTTTTTCCAAACTCTACAACTTTTGACTCTGCTATTCATTTCTCATTGTAGAAATCTCCGTTTTCTTGAATCTGCTTCTCTTCACATCACTCCCAGCTGCTTTTGCCCCAGACTGTGTTGCCACCTGTTTTCCAATTGATGTTTTAACTGTCCATCCATTCATTTTGAACACATAGCCTGCAGCATGAGACTGACATTCACTTTTATTATTATTTTATTGCAGGGCTTGCCTAGACTCGCATAGCAATGAAATGGCACAGAGTCTGGTCCACTTTGCAGCTTATCCACCCCACAGGAAGAGGAAGTCTTCTCACTGATACAGAATGTAAGGTGACCAACCAGAGTCTATTTTGTGGAAATTATATTGCAATCATAGGCGGGCATGAAATATAGTAGTCAGCATTTGAACCTTTCATCAAAGTTGTCC